CTGCATCAGAAACCACTTATACGATTTTATTTTTGGGTTGTTGGGGCTGCAGTTTAGCAGGCTAATTCCAGGACACCCTGTACAGGTGGAAATCAAATTACTACCTGACGGTGAATTTGCCGATGCTAGAAAGCGACCTTTGTTTGTGAGAAAATTTAGTTCCCAAGCAAAGGCCCATGGCCAACTGCCATTTGCAATGTAGCCAACCCTTTTCCTCTATCAAACCCTTCATCATCAAGCACCTACCTAACTTGTGGAAGTTTCACCGCGGCCTAATTGATGTATATGAGGGCCCTATACCGGGTGGAATTTTCAAGAGTTTTTCAAATGTATAGATGTTCGTTGTAGATTATACATCAGGTTGTTTCGAACTCAGTATCAAGATTTCATGTGCTTATTTTTCAGATCTAAATAAGACGATTGTTTCCTGTAAATATTTGTCCGCAAACGCTTCAATAACGATCTATACAGAGCGTTAAAATTTCAAAATATTCTTCTTTTTTATAGCTCTTTATTCAGTAATCAAGATATTCAGATTGAATTTGACACATAGGTTATACGTTAGGGTTCACATTATACATTATATCGAGTGATTGTAAGAATCTACAATGGAGATATTTTTTCAGGGGCCAAGCCCTTTTTCGCTTCATAACCTTTCATCTGGTGCGCTACTGCGGTAGATCTTGAAACACGAAATAGAAGCTCTTTGTTTCGTTTGTGAACGTTTTTGTCTCTTGTAATTTCAACGCATCTAAGACATTCATATTTTTAACAAATGAGAGGAACCTCTATTATCTCAATTAAAACAAAAAACGATACATATTTACTTTGTGATATCGATTACAAGTTTCTCAATACATCCAAAACCTGTAGAATGAGAAAACCAACAAACCTTGACTTTTTATAGAAGGAAAATAAAAATCTTCAAACGTCAACGCTCTGTATATCGGTAACAAAGCGTTTGCGGACACATACTTACAGGAAGAAGTATTTTTCTCCAAGCGGCATGGATAGTGGTTTTTTCCTGCCGCTTAACAGGCAGAAGAGGTATACTTTTACTGCCTTGGCAGAAAAAGTTTGTTGCCATGCAACGTTCCAAGAAATTCTAATGAAATTAGTAATCAGAATTGACACTGACATTGGGTGAACACAAATTGATGGAGTTTTCAATAAAAAAATTACACAAAGTTGGTTTTATCATTTGGAGAAAAAATTCTATGTTTCACACGGCAGCAAATGTAGATTGACTGCCTTGGCTGATTTCCTTAGCCGAGCGTAGCGAACTATTATCCGCGGCAGTCAATCTACTACTTTTCTGCCTAGTAAAACAAATAACTATTTCCTCCAAATGACATCGAAAGTGGCTTTTTAATGACACTTAACAGGCAGAAAATGTGTACTTTTATTGCCTAGGCAGAAAAAGTTTGTTGCCATGCAACTTTTTAAGTAATAATTCGAATCAAATTGGTAATCAAAATTGACACTGACGTTGGGTGAACACAAAATGATGGATTATTTGGAGTTTGTGTGAAATTGGATGAATTTGGAGAAAAAAGCATATGTTTCACACTGCAGAAAAGCAGATTTAATGCCTAGTGAAACAAATAACTATATTTCGACCTGAAAAATGAGTCCCTGGAATCTTTTGATACTGAGTTTTGATACACCCTATATACAGAGTGAATCTGAAAGTGTGGTTTTTCATTTAACATATGGTATATATCTCGCCAAAATAAGTTGTTTGATCAACAATTGTTCATGTTAAAAATGTAATATTACAGTTCAAAACGAAAATCAATAGGTTGAAAATGTGAAAAAAGGTTGTTGATTAATTTTTTTGATGAAATATTGCAACTGTAGGGTATCTAATGCTGAAGGTTTTTTTTGCGTTTTTTGAGAAAATGTAAACAAAATGTTTCATAGTTGGAGTCTTCTTCGAACCAAACAACTTATTTTGATGAGATTTAAATTCTGTTTGAAAATAAACCTCACATTGAGATTCACCCTGTATATTAACTAGTAATAAAATCATCGAAGGAGATTTCAGTCTTTGTGTGTTATGGTAAATAACATAAATTGAATGTTTTTATTCTTGAGGTTTTTTGTAGTTTTCGGGTTTTATTTTGCATTTTTTATCTTACTGAGTAATAATAACTTAAGTGGACGTAAAACTTAATCATAATAATAATTAATATAATGATAACATTGTATTTGACACACATTCAAATAAAAAAATAAAAGTTAAACAATTTCATTGTCGTATTTTTCCTTGCATGCAACCAACAATACATACATTCGTCGATATAGCACCAGTACGTCCCCAAAACGTACTCAGAACGTCCGGCCAAGACGTTTCATATGTACTGGGGATGTCCAGGTAGGACTGTAGACGTACTAGGTACAATCGTCTTCAGAAAACATGTCGCACATGGACGATGATAGCATCCTTGATAGCTCCTGCAATAAGACCGCTGACACCGTCCAACCGCGACATGATCACTGAAGACAACTGTACGTACTGGGGACGTCCAGAATCCGCGCATTTGTACATTCCCAGTACGTCCATTCAGGGCCATGAATACCTGAATCAACGTAAATTCGCCTTTTTTTACTCAGACAGTTAAAAAAGAGATCTAGGCAGAGTAGAAAAGTGCTTATTCTGAATGAAAAATTTGAAAATGCGTTCCTAGGGATCGTTCCCAGGACCCAAGAGATAATTTGCGAATGTCGATTGACCCTTCAAATTGATGTCTTCATAGAATTAGATGATCACGGCAGAGAATACCTAAATAGATGTTTTGTGATTAGGTACGGCGGCCAGTAAACAATGAATTTTGAGAATTATATCTGTAGAGATTTCAATTATCATTATACAATTTATTCCATCCCGTCCACATATAAAAGGCGATAACCTCCAGAGTTGGAAGTCGTACTCAGTACATCGAAATCGCCGTACTGTCCAGTACGTCTAGGAATGGACGTTTCCAGTACGTTTCGAAAAGGTCCCGGACATTCAGACCTAAATCGAACCTAACATAGACGTCCCCAGAACGTCGAGTGCTATATATGGACGTGTGTGAGTCTGCAAAAGATGTGGCCTTATTGATTGGTAAAGCATTGGCGTTTGAAATGAAAAATTGGTCTGGATATTCATTTATAAATCGCAGATGCAAGCAGTAACGATATACAGAATGTCCCTGAAAGGTCTTTACAGAAACTTGCCACATATTTCTCAGACTAAAACAAATCGATCCAAGCAAACTTACCTCAGTTGGGCGCTAGATGGCTCTAAATTGACAATTTTCAAATCGTTCTTGCTTCATAACTTTGAAACGGCTCATGATTTTTTACTCAAATATGATAAGTTGGCATAACTTTCTTGGGCAATGAAAGTCATATCATGATTATGATGAATATATTTCCATGGGCCTAGAACTTCATTTTTTTAGTAAATAAACATCTAGAAATGTTAAGCCAACGGAAACAAATGGGTTTGAATATAAAATTCGGATTGCGTAACTTTCATGATTACGAAAAAGAAAATCTTGCCCCTCATGGTATCGACTTTGAAATTTAGTAATTCAAACAAAGCATCAGTTAACACTAAAACGATAAAAAATGGATATAAGAAAATTCACCCAAGTACAAAGTTTCCCAGTCTGGACACTAGACGGCTCTGGCTTACTCAATTAAAAAAAAGCACCAAAAAAAATAGCTGATGACAGCATATTTCAATTTATTTCGTCGTTATACGTACGTACGTATTTTGTATGTATACGTATACGTGGAAATATCGAAAATGTTAAACAATTTTTATGAAATATCTCTGTAGATCGTTTTGTATACTAAAGTTTTGAATTACTAAAATTTTAATTTTGTGGAAGTCAAGAGAGTAATCTAATTTTATCAATAGAACCGTTAACAAACAAAACGAACACGTTATGCAATCCAAATTTCATATTCAAACCCATTTCTCTCCATTGGCGTTGAAGTTTTAGATGTTTAGGTACTGAAAAAATCATGTTCTACGTCCATGGAATGATATTCATCAGAATCAGGATTTGGATTTTATCGCCCAATAAAGCTATGCTATGCCAATAACATACCGAGTAAAATTTCATAGGCCGTTTCTGTAACTTCCGAGCCATCTACCGGCCAAACTAAGCAACTTTTCTACTAAGGTTAGTTTTCTAGTTGTTCACTTTGACTCCATCTATCCGCCACTGGGCTATGGGCGTGTTTTTCATTCCATCGAAGAAAGTGCGCACTGATAGATGCGGTTTTTTGTCGTGACGTCACCAATTGTTCTGTTGGAATTTATGCTGGAAGGATTGAACAATGGTTTATACAACACATTGATGGAAACACGGATTTTGTTGTGTGTCAGTCATCATGTATCTTGAGAATCAGAAAAGGCTAATTCGACTTTATTGATTAACACTGACTCTTTCTTCTAAAATCTCTCAAGAATCTCAAAAATCCTCAATATTAATTGTTTTCTATGAAATCAAAACTAAAAACAACACTAAAATGTGTCAACTGTCATGTCAATCTCCTTCAAACTGCTGGATTCTCGAAATGCGATTTAAAAGTGCGCATTTTATTACAACAGTTTGATGGATGTCTATCAACATTCCAGCGGAATTTTGCAACAGTTTGATGGTTTCTTCGATTCATGCGCATGATAAAATGTTGGAATGAAAAACGCACCCTATGGCTCGTTACTCATGACTCACCCTATGAGGTTTTGGTTTTATATCGTACCTACTTTTAGAGGTCAGATATCATGATATCAAATTATCGCACTTTAGAGTACCTGAAGAACATTTGTTAATCAACTAAAGCTCTAAGATTAGCTGTTCTAGATCAGCAACAATTTTTGATATCAGTGCAAGCACTGCCAGCCAGTAGCCAGATGAATTTATACCAAAATTTATACTGTCTAGATCCACCCGTTGTATTCTACTCTACTCGTCCGGTTGTAGGACGGCTATCCACGGCGAAATGTAACATTTCAAATGAGGTTATGCTTATGTCACTAAACATAACCTAAAAATAAGGAAAACTTCTTATGATGACAAACTCCAAATCCTACTGAAAAACCCGAAAACCTTCCGCTCAGCTTCTCCCTTGTTTATAGGGAATTGTACGAAATGACTTTTATTGACAATCCTGATGAACCAAAACCAGAATCTAAAACCACTGATAAGAAAATTAATTCCACTCAGGAGGATTTGAGCCAGTGGGGCTACGATTTGTACCCTGACCGAAGAAAGCCTAACAATGAGCCAAAGAGTATATCAGGCTTTTTGGCAGGTAAAGGTAAAGAGAACATTGATAAGATCAAATGCGAGAGGAGTGTATACAAATGTGTGAAACAAAGTCCTTTGGTGAAACTGATGATGGGGGCACTAAAGGCTTCTGGATGCGGCATCGATATACGGAGACACATATCATGTGAAGAATGTGCTCCCAGTGTCAGTGGAGGTTATGACCCTATAATGAACCAGGTAGGACTTTTTGTACTTGCTACAAAGATGAATTGAAGTGTATTGTATGGTACTGCTTTTAGGTTGTGATTTGTCAAAACACTGCCAGAAAAGAAGGGACTATCCAGTCTGTACTCATTCATGAGATGATCCACATGTTTGACTATTGCAGAAACAATTTAGACTTCAGGAACATTGACCATCTAGCCTGCACAGAGATTAGGGCTGCGAATTTAGCACATTGTAGTTTTATGTCTGCTTGGATAAATGGAGATGCATCACCTTTCAACATCAAAGAAGCTCATCAGAACTGTGTCAAAAGTAAGGCTTTGAGTTCTGTTCTTGCTGCTAGGAATATTTCCAAACTGGAGGCTATAGATGCTATAGAAAGGGTGTTTCCAAAATGTTACCCTGATTTAGAACCCATTGGGAGGAGGATTAGGCGGAATTCATTGGATATGGAGAAAGCATTTGAGGAAGGATACTATTATGGTTTTGATCAATCTTGATTGATGGCCGAAAATTAGCCATAATCATGAAATTGTTCAACTAGCTCTTGAATATACATTTGTTATTTGTTTGAAATTGTATTATTTTCCTTTACCTTGTTAGACTTGTCAATATATTATGAAACTGCTGTTTTTGTACAATCTGTCCCCATTTGTTGATAGATGCATTATTAAACATGCAATAACTAACTTTTACTTTTTCTATAACATGCCACTTTCATGGAAATATTGAAATCCCAGAATTATTGTTTCAACATTTTGGTTGTCTAGAACTAATTTCCTTATAGTGGGCATACCATATTGGATTTTTTCATAAGAACTACACTGATTACCTTCCAAGAATGGTGAATAAACAAATACAGTAAAAATTTGGGAATGAATTGACAACATGGCATTATTTAAATTATAGATTTCAATGGGAGTAATAGACTTTTTCAACTACTCAGATTTTATTCAGTGTTACTTCGTTCCCAGAAGTGAATAGTTTCCAAGAAAGAAATAAAAAAATGCATATATTATACACCTACTCAACGCTCAAATGCAAAGCACATATTATATACAAGGTGATTCTAAAATAGTTGGTCAAATTTTGGGAGCATATAGAGTGGGTGAAATAATTACGAAAACCTCTGGTAACATTTTTTTCTGAAGTGACCCCCAAGAAAGATACAGCCCCTCAAACGGGGGCCTCGGAGAATGATTTTGTATTATTATCTCCAACACCTTGTATAATGAAAATCTGAAATTTTGTCTATCCGCTTACTATTCAGTGCCGGTTCGAATGGGGTTAAAATCACCTCAATATAAAATACAGGGGTGTCTCAAAATATGGAGGTAGGGGGTAAAAATAACCCCAACTTTTTTGTTCATTGCAATTTCAGTTTTTTGACATGAAATTATGAAATCTCAGGGCTATTTACATGAAAAAGGTGCTCTTGTTGCATCTCGATAAAATTAACTATTAGCGAATAAAATTTAAAAAAAGCTTGTTTTTAACAATATTTTTCATTTTAGTATTTTCAATAGGATCAGACCATAATCACGAAACTCGTCGTCTATTGTTGATTCATCAACTCCGACAGTGAATTCAAAATTTCCAAACCCCAAAAACCCTTACAAACCAATTTTGAATCGAATCGAACCATAATCACAAATCTGGTCAGCCACATTGGAGCCGCCCTATTCTGTTCTATCAAAAAGTCCATAACGCGTTGTCAACTGTCATCTGCCAGATTCCAAGTAGATCAGACGATTAGAAGTAGGTGAAAATTCAGTTGCAAGATTTGAACTAGATAATTAAACTCAAGTGCATACCAAAATTTTAATTTAAATGAAATCTTGGAAAAATAAATTTTATTCGCTAATGGTTCAGTTTATCGAGATTCAACAAGAGCTCCTTTTCTATGTTGATAGCTCTGAGATTTCATAATTCCATGTAAAAAAACTGAAATTGCTATGAACAAAAAAGTTGGGGTTATTTTCACCCCCTACCTCTCTGTTTTGACACACCCCTGTATTTGATTTTGAGGTGATTATTTCAACTCCATTCGAACCGGCACTGAATAGTTAGTGGATAAACAAAATTTTAGATTTTCATCATACAAGGTGTTGGCGATAATAGTACAAAATCATTCTCCGAGGCCCCCCTTTGAGGGGCTGTATCTTTTTTGGGGGGCACTTCAGAAAAAAATATTACCGAGGTTTTCGTAATTATTTCACTCACTCTATATACTCCCAAAGTTTGACCACCTATTTTAGAATCACCTTGTATAAGATCAGTTTTTTCTAAATGTATCCAAGTAAATCATATATTCTATGTGCTTCAATATCATATTTAACTCACTGAAAGGAACCGTTTTTCTATAATTATCCAATTACTAATGTGGGAAAATTAAGTTTTCATAAACCCATATACTGTTATTTTGATTCAACAGTATTCAGATAACAATTGGAAAGTGGTTAACAGCCTCTGCCTGTTAAGATTTCAGTGGGATTACGAAAAGTCTGAAACGACACACAGCCGATACGCAAATAACGAATTATCGGTTGTCATAATCCTCGACTGCGCCTCGGATTTCAATATTCGCAACCTCATCCGTTATTTGTTACATATCGGCCTTGACACGTTAATAACTATTACCGCAAATAGAGTCCTTTTTTATGAAAATACAATAGATATACTTTATTAAATGAATGTCGTATAGTTCCATAATCTGCCACTTTGGCGCTGGGATCTTGAATTTTCATTGCAGAGAAGAAGAGGCGCGTGTTTTTATAGACTGCATGACTCGAAAAAATTTACAATAAAATTAACATACCTTTCACATTTTGTAGCAAATCCATTCACCTGATAGGTACTATATCACACTTATTGGAACCTCTCTTGGGATTTTTGTAGATCACAGTCAAAAGTGAAGAGAAGTCGAAGAAAAAATTCGAGTGTTGAATCTTATATCACATATCACTCATATCAGTCAAAAATGCACTCTCCGAAGTACGGAATAAGATAAACGAATAGGCAATCACACTTACCGATTCTTTTTATTGTTGCAGCATGAAATCACAAAATAAAAAATCCCTGTGAAGGAAAACCTACCACCAACAATAAAAAAACCGTCAACTTTTTCGTGCGATCTAGACATGTACATGACGTAAAAGACAAGAGCAATCATAAAATAAAAAAAAATATTGATGAAATAAATCATTGATTTTATCAAATTTCCACGATTGATTCTTTCTTGTCACTAATTGCTCGTTCAGATGTTTTTTCATTTTCATGCTGAAAATCTGTCAGAGGAGAGAAAAAATTATGATAGATTTTGAACACAGGAATCATAAAAATGAGAACAGAAATAAAGAACAAATTCACATTGACATATATTTTTTATTTTATCTAGGTAAGAAAAATTGGACTAGGTAAATTCATTGGCTAACTTATTTTACTGCAAGAACAGCAACAAGATATCGATTTCTATATTTTCAATATGTTCAATCAACATAAGCAGTTTGTTACACTTTATTTCTCCACCCCTGTACTTCTGTAACCCTATAATAATTCGAATTTATTCAATCAACCATTTCATAGCTTCCTACAAAAGACCACAAAAAATAACATTTATATGGAACCAAAAAGAAACATCACATGAAATTTTTGCTGAAATGTAAATGTACTTCTGAATTTCCACTTTCTTAATAATATTACCTTCACAATGAATTTCTAGATAATTCCTTAGTATTTTTATTTTCCCATATGGAATCCAAAGACAGGCCGAGGCATTTATATTTTAAACGAAGCGAGATTAAAAAAAATCAAAGGACAACAAATGAGTATTTTTGATGGGTTTATTTTAATGATGAAAACCGCAAAAATCTACAGGGTGTGATATTTGCTCGTTGGGTACATCCCTGGAAATACTGTATAAAATTTAATTGATCAAGTAGACGCCTCATAATTGTTTGAATAAATGGCGAAATATTCATTGAAATCGGCTAAAACGTTTTCCCCCTTTTAAAAAAACACCCTCTATCTCAGAAACGAGTTATTTTTGCACCCAAATGCATATGTATTATCATGAATCTATGCAGATTTTTCAAAATATAAATCGATATTGTTATGGTACCATAATTGATTTATAATTATATTCATTAATTGATAAAATGTTTGGACGGACTAAAAAAAATAAGAACATGAATTCTTCCATATCATCTACCTATAGTAAAAGAATCATTCAGAAATTTTCGACATACAGGGAGGCAGAAAAAGTTTCAACAAACTGTATAAAATATAAGTACAGAAACGATTTCAGAGCTGTTCCAAACATAAAATATCAAATAAAACAAGACGAAATCACAGAGGATACTATCAAATTAAAAGTTAATTGATTTTTCACAGAGTAGTTCATGGGATGGAAATAAGTTGTCAATGGATGGTGTTAGTTAGATAAGAGTTCGGACACAGCTGAACTTCTGTCCTTTTCTATTTTCTATATTACAATGGTTTGAGTAGGTAAAAGAATAAGACATATACAGTATGATGCAAATGTATGGAATAAATTCTTTTCAAAACGACGACTTTCGAAAAAAATCCAGAAACTAGAGTTTCGAACTCTTTTAATTGATGTATTTTTTCAACTAAAGACGACCCTTCGATGTTCAATTCTCAGTAGAAGATCTCTGCAAGATTCAGTTAATCAAATGACGATCCATTTTAATTTCAATCTTCTTATGCAAAATTTTGATTGTTGGATAGACGATCAGTAGACCTTTCAAACGAGGTGTCACATGACCCCTGTTTGTATTTGAAAAAATTGTCCATTACGTCATCATTCCAATACCGGTGACGTAACATCTTTCATATGAATATCATGAGATTAGGCTTCAAAAATTAAAACTCACGTGTTTTTGGAATTTTTTCAAATGTCGCCTATTTCTGAAATAATGAATTTATTCCATACATTTGCATCATACTATATCTTATGCTCTTTGTCTTTTCAATTTCCCTAGTAGCTCCTGATTCTCAATACCTACCTCCTGTCCCTATCCTTCCTAGGAACGCACGATGTTCTTTGAACATTATAGGGATTCCCTTTCGTGCGCTCCGAGCGATAAAAAAAATATGATTTTAGAAGTTAGGTTTTCTGACAAATCAATCATTCGCGATAGAAAATGAGCGTACGCCACCTATCGGAGTTTTTGAAAGCTGTCAAAGCGGTCTGTTTACTTTGTTTTCATTGGTTCATATTTGTTTTTCGTTCGTGATTATTGGTCAATTCTTCAAAATAAACCAAGAAGTGTTCAAGTTGTTGTCGTCAGATGTGGTGACGTGTTATTTTCTATCGCGAATAGATATTCGCCTAGAAATAGGGTATAAACACACACTTCAATTTATTGTGATACAGTTTTCGCAGAACAACAGTTATAAACAGGAAAAGAATGCATTCAACAAAATTTCAATATGACAAAATAGAAACATATAGATATACTTATAGCTAGTTCCTTATTGTTTGTAACACTGTACCTGAATGATAAGAAATTGAAACATGAAGATTGTTTTTGATTTCCCACTTTTTGCTGCATTCAC